AGCTCATGGGCAGGGGGAAGATGGGGCTGAGATACCCCCACCCCGCCACCGCGGGGACAGTGGGCAGAGAGGACTCCTTCTGAAGCCCTCTGACCCTGGGCTGCAGGGGAGCGGCGGGGAAGCAGGCAAGAGCAGCCCCTTCCCCCAGCCAGGAGCCCTGGGCCTCTGCTCGTATATCTGTCCCTGGATAATGTATATCCAGCTTATGGAAAATATTCATAATGCTCCTTACACCAAACTGGCCCCCTTCCATAGTGCGTGATCTAAAATTAAATCCATTTCAAATATACAGTAGATCGAGTCAAGCTAATATAAATGAAACATGATTAATAGGCAAAACGCTGTCCTCCTTCTCAGGGATGGGGGGAGGCAGGGCTGGAGCGACTCTCCCTCTCCCTCCCCACAGCCCCCCAGAACCCCCAAGGCCTCCACACCCCTGTCTGTCGTTATTTCAAACTCCCCTCTCCCTGAACCTCAAATGTGGACCAACCTTAGAATTTGCCCAAACAGTGCCAGGCCATGAGAGCAGAGCAGTTGAGAGCATGGACTTTGGCATCAGGACAGAGCCAAGCCCTTGAGCAGATGGCTTAGCCTCTCTGAGCCTCAGTTTCCTCGTCTATACAATGGGATAGTAACAACCCCTTGCCTTGTAGGATTGTTGTGAGTGATCAATGAGATGATACCGCAGGTAATGCACAGAAGTAGCCAGCACCCCCATAAAGACAGTGAGCGCAGGTAGGTGGCCCCCAGAGGTCTGCTCCTTGGGCTCCCATGGGAGTCGGTATCTGTAGCCCCCTCCAGCCACCGGATCAGCCAGCAGAACAAGGGCCAGCCAGAATTCCTGCCATTGCAGGATACGCTGGGTGGGTTATTTTTAGTTTGTTGGCAAGTGACTGTTACTGACCAAATGTTCCCACCACTGGGGACAAACTCTGCTAAGAGGGCACTTGTGTGCTGAGCCCAGGGTGGGGAGGGGTGTTTGTGGCCCGTCCCCAGGGGCTCCACGTGTGTCCCCGTCGCAAACACATTTGGACACCGTTTCCGCAGCCGTTGGCAGAAAGCAGAAGGCCTGGGTGGAGCCAGGCAGCATGCACGCCTGGACTTTCTCTCCTTTCCAGCTGGGCACGTGGGTGCCTCTCACTAAGGACGCTCCTCGGCGTGGAACGAGAAACAATGTCACCCTTGGAGAGGAGTGGAGCTCTCGGCTCACTGGCCAGCATGCTGCGTACCTCCCTCCAGGAAAGACCCGGGCTTCCACGGGCTGTGTGTGTGCGCATGCGTGTCATGTGCATGTCTGGTTATCACCTTCTGGGTGGTGTCCCGCTCCAGGTATGGGTGCCCTCTCCTATCCACCTGGGCCCCCCCACCCACCATGTTCCTGGGTCTCTCAGCCCCACATCATAACCCCCAACTGCAGGTAATCATCTGAACTTCCAAAGGGGAACCCCGTCTCTTGCACAAACCCCTGAGTCTTGGGGTGCCTTCATTCTTCCATCCAGAAAGCATCTCCAGTCCCAGTCCTTCCTTTTTCTCCCCGAGGGGCGGGAAGGAGATGAGCCCTACGGGGTGGGAGGGGGCGCCGTTGATTCTTTTCTTGTCATTGGCCATTTGCTGCCTGCTTCACCAGGCGTGTTTGGAGCATGTTTGCATAAAGTGGATGCAGGCTGCAATTCCGTGATGAATTCTATGAATACTAATCCGCTACTACCCTTGACCTTGGGGTCACCGAAAGATCAAAACCAAACCATTTAATATTTTCCTTTTGCAGATCAATAGAAGCATAAATTCCCCCTCAATGACAAGTATAATTTCAAACAGATCTATAGAAGGCATGCGTGCATTTCCAGCCGCAGACACTCACTGCCTGCCTGGCCTTTTGGGGAGCAGACAGGAGTTTCTTGCCTTTTCTACCATTGAATTTCTTTTTGCCTTTTTTTATGGCTCTGAAATGCTATTTTCAGCAGCTGCTGTCATATAAATATCTCTTGTTTTTCTTCTCCTCTTTCCCTCCTGGTGAAAAGGGCAGGGGACCTATTGAAAATTCCGCTTTATCTCTTTCAGTCGGGTTCAAGTACAGGTCGAATAATCGATCCCTCCTCCTTTTCTTTTTTAAGTTTCCTGTCGTTCTTTTTGGCCAGATCAGCAGCGGAGAGAAACCAGGAGGGCAGTTCTCTTATGCAGATCCTCTCAGAGGTCTCTATTGCTGGATCTGTGTGTGTGCTCCCTCATGCACATGGGCCATCTGTGATTGAGTGGGGGGTGGTGTGAGTGTGTAAGTGTGTGTGTGTACCTTTGTGTACATGACCATACATGCTCACGCTAGTTCAAACTCTCACCCAGAACTTGAGGAGGGTGGAAACAGAAAATCATCAAAGAGAAAAATTTGAGGGCTGGAGTGGGCCTCGTTAACCCGTGCAGCTCCCAGGAAGAACCTGGGCTGGGAAGACTGGGAAGGTCTCCCAGCTGGCTTTTCACGCTTGCACCTCACCAAAGCATCTGAGTCTTCTTAAGACTACAACTCCTCCGAGGGGGGAAAGATGCAAATAGAAAAAGGGAGAAACAAAACAAAACAAAACAAAACTGGAGGCGGAGGGGGAAAAAAGCCAAAGAAAAGAGAAAGGGAATTAAACCATTAATCTGCCCAGATTTTTCCACTTCACAGAGTAATCAGTTCGGAAGTGACTGAAATAAAGTGGAAGCCACGACTGCCACCACCTCCTCCCTTTAGTCCATGTTTCTTATTTTAAAAAAATCAGGGAGCCAGGGAGGAGGCCTCCCTGTCCCCCACAAAGGCCCCTAGTGTCCGCTCCAGAGGGGGACGAAGATCCCAGCCCTCAGCCGCAGCTTCCCAGTGCTGTGATGCCGGGGCGACGGCCACCCTGAGCTGGAGGTGCAAAGCCAAGATGATTTAATTTATAGAAAGGACAAGGATGTCGTGTAGCAGATTTAATCATCGGAGAGTTTAAAAAAAAAATAAGGACCGGGCTAATGTCGTAATTTACATTTCAGGATAATAAAGAGAGAAAGACAGCAAAGGAAGGGCCCGTAGCCTGAGAGAGGCAGTGAGGAGGGGAGGCCGACCAGGGGGCCGAGGGAGCCCAATAGATTTGCCTGAAACACCAATAAATTTAAAAACAAACCCAGAAAGCTAAAGTCAGCCCCTGGAAAGTGCTGGGAAAATGGACCATCGATTTTAGACTTGATCTGCATTTTGTATTTTAATAATGCTCTCTCTCTGTCTTTCCTTTTCTCTCTCTCCCTCTCTCCCTCTCTCTCTCTCTCTTTTGCAAAATATAAAAGCTGATCTGATAAATATTAATTTGAACCATCATAATGTATTTGAAAATTCCAGCTAAAATGTCACCACATGGAACATTAATGTAATATTTCAAGGCCCTGAGAGCAATACTCATATTGATTGCATTTATTTCACTCTAGGGAGGAGAGATAATTCTTCAATGTGGGACACATCTGGGAGCCAAGGAGGCAGGGGCTGAGGGGAGAAATGCGAAATTATATATGGTCATAAAAAATACAAAACAGAAAATCCTCCCCAAAACTCGCCCCTCTCCCGTGGCGTCCCACACCCAAACTTGACTTTGTAATTTCTCAGCAGGGCGTGGGCCATGGAAGCCAGTGTGCCTCTGGGGCAGTTGTTGCAGGACTGAGCTGCCTCTCCCTGGGCCCCACCACGTGGGCCCTGCCTCCAGGCTCCGGAAGGCATCGGGGCCCAGCTGGGGATGGACAGACAGACAGAGGGGCTGGCCCAGCTGGGCCCCCTCCCTCCGCCCCCCTGGAGCTGTGGGATGAAAGTTTGTGAATGCACAAGAGCTGTGGGGTCCTGGGAGGGGAGAGAGAAAGGAGAGGAGAGAAGGGGAAAGGAGGGGAGGGTGAGAAGGGGGGGACAAGAGGAGAGACAGAGAGACAGGCATGAGTGAAAAAGGAAGGAGGGGAGGGGAGTCAAGGGAGGGTGGAAAGGAGCGGGGGGGGGAGTGAGTGGGGAGGGGAGGGGCAAGGGGGGAAGGGGGGCGCGGGCCGTCTGGAGTCCCAGTTCCTCTCACTGTCATTAAGGATATTGATGTGCTCAGGCGTCAACGAGTCTTTGCACAAGTGAAAGGAAATCCGATGCTGGTGATGACCCCAGCACACGCCCTCCAAGCCCCCTGCCCGACTGGAGCGGAGACCTGGGAGGCCTGGGGGAAGGGGTGAGCGGTGGTGAGACCCTGTAGAAGGCTGAGAGGCTGAGGCCCTGTGACTCCAAGCTGGAGGCTGCTCCTTTCGGCACGGCACGGATGCCTACAGCTCCAGGGCTGGCTGCCTGGCCTCCTGCCTCCCCGTTGGCTGGAACCTACAGCCCAGATGCAGACTGAGCAGGAACGCTCCCCTGGTTTAGTCTTAAGCCCGAACGGGAGTCTACCTTCTTGAGAGTGCGTGGGGTGGGCCCTTACAGCACCCCTAGAAGGCCAGGGGCGGGACAAGGGGAGGCCCAGAGGCCCAGGGACTGGCCAAGGTCAGGTGCATCTTTGCCATTCTTCAGATCTCTGCACAAATGTCACCTTCTCACAGAAGCCCTCCCAGGCCGCCTAGACAGCCACTGACACACACTCCCCATCACGCCTGCGTGTTTTGTTTTAAGTAGAGCGCTTGTCAGTAACTGGGATTGTCTTAATTTGCGTGTACATGCTTTTTATCGCTCTTCCCCTCGCTTGGAGATTAAGTTTTTAAGGTCAGGGACCTTGCCTAACGCATTCACCTTTACATCCCCTGCACCAGGCACACAGCAGCCGCTTCTAGGCGTTAGTTGACTTGATGGAAGGATGAATAAATGGATGGATGGATGCTAAAGGCTCTGCCCTTCTGTGCACCACCCTCTTCTAGCCTGAGTCCCCTTTGAGCCGCGTGACCCAGCATCGCCCCCACCCCCGACCCCTCCCAGCCCCCCTCCCGCTGTCGCCCGCCGCCTGCCGCCAAGGCTGCGCACCCCCGCCTCCCCGGAGCCGTCACTCGCGGAGCTGCCACAATATTGTGAAGGCTCCGCGCTCCCGCTCCTCCGCGCAGCCCGCAGCCCGCGCGGGAAAAGCTAGGGAGGCGGCGGGCGGGCTGCTCAGCGATGAATAATGCATGACCAAGGCGCCCCCTACCGGCGGCCGCGGGCTCGCGGGGACACGGCCCCGCCGCGCCCCGGACCTCGCACGGACCAGGTGGACAGGCCCGGTCTCACTGCCCCTCCCAGGTCCAGGGAGGAAACTTCCCGCCCCTGTCATCCCTCCTAGATCCAGGCGTCAGCCCTTGCTCTTTCCGGGCTACCCTCCCTCCTGTGTTGGGAGCACCGCTTTAGGGGCGTTTGGGGCGGTGGGGGCGGCTGCACAGAGCTGGGACAAGCCTCTAGGGATTCTGATCCCGGGAGTGGGGAGTGGGATGGGGAAGCCCACCTCTCACCCCACGGCTTCTGTACCAGGATTTGAGCTGAGCGGGCAGTGTGTGGCCTCCAAAAAGGACCAGCTGGAAGGCGGGGGAGAGCACAGAACACTGCTTAATCCGCTTATAAAAATTAGTACAAATTATTTGGTGACATTTTGGTCTCTATAGCTCATGGTAAATATCTAAATATATAATTATCTGATTAAGTTAATGTTATCAAAAAATTAGTGCCAACAGTATCACAAGTGTTTCCAAGTTTCTGTAGAACATTTAGAACATTGAGATGCTTTTATTTTTTTTTTTAATTTAAAATATGGGAAAGCCCACTATATATGTGTGATCATCTGTCATTTTAGAATAAAATGTCTTCCTGGGAGCTTCCTTTCTAGGAGGAATGGACTTTCTTGGCTGCCTTCCACCAGGAAATGCCAGGTGGCAGAGGGCACTGGTCAAGGTTGATCATCAGACCCCCCCCAGACCCCCCCCCCAAGGCCTGGAGTGATCCCCAGTGGCTGTGATCTCGGGTTCCACTGCCAGGATTGCTTGTTCCCCAGGCCCACTGCATCCTAACAGGCAGGTGATGAAAAGAGAGCCAGAGATCCCCCCTTGAGCAAGTGGCTGCTTTCTTCCTGGTCATGCAGGCCCTGAGGAGCAGGGACTCTCCTCATTGAGAATAGACTTTACTGACACTCCCCAGGCCCCCAGTCATTCCTCCTGTAGCCTGACCCACTGCCCAGCTGGAAAGGAGGGGCTACCCTTCCAGAGGCTGGAACCTCCAAACTCCGGGAAGGGGTTCCAGCCCATCTCTTGGGCATCTGCTGAAAGACTGGCACATGTTGGGGTCTCTAGTCCCAGCAATGCCCTGGGAAGGCAGACTGTGAGCCCCATGCTACCAATGAGGAAACTGAGGCTCAGAGAGGTACAGTCGTGGGCCCAGGACCACCCAGTTCAGATTTGGACTCAGACTTACACTCTGCAGAGCCTGAGGTGAGAGGCCTGGGGCAGGGAGGAGGAACTCTAGCCCTCTGCCCAAACTGTCCTCTTGTGGCCTGGACCCCACGCCCCGCTAAGAGGTCAGACTTGAATCCTGAGCTGCGTCACAGTGCTTCTGGTGGAATCTTAGGGCAACACTTGGACTGGATGACTACAAATGGGTTGCAAACTGAAGTGTCCCAGGACTGGTAGGCATCACCACACATGGGAAATCTATGGTCCCCCGTTAGTTTCCCAAATAGCTTTGGCTCATGAAAACAACAGTTCAGGGCAATGATTGACAACCTATTAGCAACCTTCATCCTGGAATCTTGCTCCTTCAAGTGAGGCCCAGGTTCCAGCCCCTGTCTGACTTTGCTTTGCTCTGTTGCCTCACCCAACAAGTCTGACCTCTCTGAACTTCTGTTTCTTCATCTGTAAACTGGGGATAAAAACAGTACCCATATCACAGGGGGTTGCATGGACCAGGCGAATGGAGGGATGTGCAGGATTTTGTAGGGCAACCCAGGGTCCTGCCAGGATAATTCTTGTTAGTAAGTTGGGGTCCTCATTGGCTCTGTTAGTTTGGGTTTCCCCAAAAGCAGACCAGGGATTTGGGTGTGTGCCATTTGAGAGGGATACCACAGGAGAACAGTGAGGGGATGGGGAGGTAGGAGGAGGAAGATGTGTCACTGGGCAGTTGCCACAGGGCTCATGAGTCCTGCAGAGACTAGAGCACAGTTCAGGACTGTCCCAAGGTGTGTGTGTTGGTGGGGGTGGGGGCGGGGCGGGGTGCAATTTATTCACCAACTCCCATCTGTCATTGGTTGATTGGTTGAGTGAGAGTCACAGGGGGTGAAGCTTATACCTAAAGACCAGATAGATGTCCTTGGGGTGCTGAAGTCAGAGTGATTGTAGCCCTCGGTAGAAGCTGCAGGTGCCTTCGGGGGCAGGTGGAAGGACAAAGCATGGGCCAGTGCCCAGCCCTCTTCCCTCCACTTCAACAGCTGCTCCTGCCAATATTGGTGCCCACTCTGGGCCACACCAGGCTCTGGAGTCAGAGATAGGCCTGATTCAGCTGCAAACTTGTCAAGGGGGTGGGAGAAAGCCCAGTTTTCCAGAGAATGAATGTTGAGAGAGTCTTCTGGCCTTTCTCAGAGCCCAGAGGCAGAGTATTCAATTTCTGGGGCTGAGAAGGTTTCCTGGAGGAGGGTACATTTTTCTAGCAGAACTTGGAGCCAGAGACTCTCTTCTCTGTCCTGGGGCCTAGAGTGACCTCACCCTCACTGTCCAAAGTTCCTTCCGGCTGTGGTAGCTAATATTGAATTGCTGGGCGGGGCTGGTAGCTCTGCCCCTTCATCATCTTGGATGCCAGGACAGCTGTCCTCCGATCCAGACTTTGTCCCACCCCTGGCGCTGCTGGGTGGGGGTGGGGGGTCTAGGCAGCAGTCAGCGATGAGAAAGAGCAGTTCTGGGCTTAGGACCTGAGGGACTGTCTGAGGTTAGCCGCCAGGAAGTTCCCAAAACTTCCTGAATGACTGGAGAGCTTGCTTCAGATTTGGGTACAGGTTTCATTCAGACCTCCCGACTCAGAGTATTCAGGTAAGAATACTTCTGCATTTTTAAGCAAGCACCCCGGAGCCTCCTGATGCTACTAGTGGACTTGGGTTGGGGACCCATCTCCTGCTCTGCACTGAGCTCGTGGTTACCTCCCCTGGCCCACCACAGACTTCTTGTGGCCACCATGAGCTCCTGGGAACATCCCTCCCCCATAGCTCCCTGCATCATCTCTCTTTAATCATCCCCCCACCCTGGATCTGCATTTCCAAGGGAAGAGGGCGAGGCAGAGGAGACAGTCTTCCCAGGGACGTCCTCTCTACCTCTGCAAGCTCCACCCCACAGAGACCCGCCACCTCTGTTCCCTGGAGAGCATGGGGAAGCATGGGGGTCCTCTGTGACTGAATCTGTGACCTCCCATTCATTCATATGCATGGGATCAAATTTTGGAAATACAATTAATTACCTGTTGTTGTGTCTGCTTTAATTATTGTCGTGTTTTCTATGCGCTTAACACAATTTAATAAACAGTCGGGGAAACAAAATCTTCTTGGGGGCCTGGGCTTGGGAGAAGCTGGGCTCTGTCCCTGGCCCTGGGAAGTACTTTCCACCTGTCATTCATGGTCACATCCATTCATTCTTTCATGTGTTTGTTCATTCATTCTCCAGTCAGTTTGTCATTGATTCATTCACTCGATCCCTCATTCATTCAGGTATTCATTTATTCATTCACTCATTCATTTATCTGGTAAATATACATTAGCTAAGCCACATGACAGGCTCCAGGAGAGGTGCCAGGAAGGTCACGATAAATAAAACGAGAAGGTCCCTGCCTTTTAAGAGCTGACAATCTGGAGGGGTAGACAGACAATAAATATAGGTAGAGAATACAAATTGAGCCAGAACGGCCAGGGAGGACTTCTTGGAGGAGTCAACATTTAAACACATTCCCTGTTTTATTCACTTGTTTATTCATCCATTCAAGCAGAGCAGGCTGTATTCCTGGAGAGAGCAAGAGATAGAAGGCCCCATTCTGAGCCAGGACCCAGGGGGAGAGACAACTGGTGGCCAAAGTATTACAGCATAACAGGAAACATGGTGGTGGAGGCAGGAACAGTGGGAGCGCTGAAGCTGGAGAAACATTCAGGGAAGGTATTTCCTTGGGAGGAGGCCTGGAGTAAGTCTTCTAGGACCCATAGAAGGTGAGTAATCTGAGTCTCCAGGGGATAGGCTCGGGGACCATGCATAGCTGGCAAGTAGCTGTTACAAGTGCTGGGCACAGTAGTGACCTGGAAAGACAGGAGGAGAAGGGGTCTGGTGACTAAGATCTCCTGGTTCCCAGCCCTCTGCCCCAGGACTTGGGATCAAACGGAACTGGATAAGGTTGGGTCTTGGTAAAGAAACAGAAGTTTATCAGCTAGAGAAGGACACTCCAAGTGAACCCCGCACATGCACAGACCTGGGGGCGGGAGGGAGCTAGCATGCTTAGGGGGAAGCCTGGCTTATGGCAGAAGGTGGAGCCTTGGACTTCCCTGGTGGTCCAGTGGTTAAGAATCTGCCTGCTGGTGCAGGGCACACGGGTTCAATTCCTGGCCTGGGAAGTTTCCACGTGCCACGGAGCAACTAAGCCTCTGTGCGGCAATTACTGAGCCTGTGTGCTCTGGAGCCAGTCCCAACAAGAGAAGCCACTGCCGTGAGAAGCCCGCGCACCTCAACTAGAGAGTCACCCCTGCTCGCTGCAACTAGACAAAGCCTGCGCACAGCAAAAGATCCAACGCAGCCAAAAACAAATTTAAAAAAAGGAAGATGGAGCCGTAGTCCTAGGCAGCAGGGAGACAGGTGGCTGCATCACAGGGGCCTGCAGGGATGGCACCAAGGAGCCCAGGCAAGATCCTGGACGTGATGAGGAGCCCTGGGCGGTCTGAGGCTGCGTGGGCCCTGGTCAGAGCTGAGTATCCATGCTTATTTACAGATGTGTCCAAATGCCTGCTCGGGGCCAGGGATGTGGTGATAAGCAAGATATGTCCTCCACCCAGGCAGACCGCTGACTCTGGTGGTAAAAGTGTCACTGGGGTAACCATGTAGATACCCAGGAGCCCAGAAGAGGGGGTTAAGTTTAGGAAAGAAAAATTAAAAGCTGGTAACACCTAGTATTTATCAAGTCCTTCCTCCATGCCAGGTGCTTCCATTTGTTATTCCATTAATAATAATAATCATAGGAGCAGCAGCAGCAGTAATAAGTAATACTTATTTTGTGCCAGCTCCTTTCTGTTCAATGTGCTTTTACCCGTATTAATTCCTTTAATCTTCACAACAGCCCATGGAGGTGGATATTAGTAGCATTATCCCCATTTGACAGATAAGGACACGGAGGCTCAGAAGCTGAGTGACTTCCGGGAATAAGTGGCTGAGCCAGGACACGAACTCAGAGCCTTCCGATGCCCTGGTCCACGTGGGCTTCCTCCTGCACTACCCCCCCTCACCAAGGGATGTGTTGGGGGCTGAGGCGGTGCCAGCACGGCTGGCACTGGATACCCCACACAAGTCAAGGG